GTGGCACCCCTGAAAAGGACATCAAGGCTCTCTTTTCCACTTCCTCCATGTACAGGTTTGCAACAATAGGAGAAACTCAGTAATGTTTACAGTAATGTTTGCAGTAATTTACAGTAATCTTTACAGTAATGTCTGCAGTAATGTTTACTTTGATGTCTGCCGTATGCATTATTTGCAGAGTAAGCATACAAACATAACCACAAACAGACAAGAGTTCTGATCACTACAGTTTTACAGTCAATCCATAATGAAGCTCTAACCAACATGTTGTTACTTCTGGCTTCAAATGCTTGTTTTGGTAAAATGATTCCATCACAGAAGTGGAGTTAGGATTGGCTTTACTTTGTTTTAAAAACAGACAGAACAGATTTGAATATTATTCTTGATTTAAGAGTAAAGAAAGTACATTTGTTGAAGAATATTTTAAAACCATTATTCTGGTTTGTTCTGTTTCCTTTTCAACCTGAGCACCTTTGGAAGCTTACAGGAAGCCAAGCTTCTGATGTCTGAACAAGACACTACACAAGTGGAACAAAAATTATATACAAAACCAACAAAAATACCCAACAAATCGTGTGAAAAATTTCATCTCAAATAATAAAAAAACCCAACAGAAATAAAGACTAAGAACAAACCTTTAAAAAGTTATGGCTTGGATTTAACTAGGAGGCAGGTACAAGCAGCAGAATCCATTCACAGAAACCCAGGGGGATTATGGGAAGTAAAATGTGAGGTTGTACAAATAAACACAACGGTGCAGAGAAATTCACAACTACGCTGGTGTCTGTTGCAGCAGGGTTTTTTTTCAGTGTGGAAAACAAACATATTACATAAGAACCAAAGTGTCTGACTTCAACCCCATCAGATTGATCAGGTTGTTATTCCCACAGCTCAATTAGAAACACGTCAGTTTGTAGACGTGTACGAACTGCTGACCTCGTGTCGTTTCACTGACTGGTCCTGTCTGCAGCCTGATGTCTGCACTTCTGACAGGAATAAACTGCTCTCAAACAGAACCATGTGGACAAGTGAGCACACAGGAGGTCCCTGAAAGCTTCAGTCCAGGAGCAGGAGTTCAAACCCAGGACAACAGGTACACTTTACAAAACTCAGGACATGAATTTAAATACCTGCGCACCGTTTAAAAGAGCACATTTTTACAACCTCAAATTKTATCCCTATAATCCCTCAAATGCTTGAACTAGAGAAAGAATGGAAAAAGCCAGGATTCACTGCTGCTGTGTGTGTTTGGCTCAGTCACTGACAGAAACCAGGTGAAGCTGTCCACACTTCTACCTGCTGCCAAAGCTTCGGTGCAGGGGGGGTCTTCTACACTTTGTCTCAGAGCAGCAGTAACCCTGTCGCCTCTGGGTCAAAGAAAAAGAAAAATACAAGCCTGAAGACCGATGATTTAGGTTGCTGTTAAAAATTAGGTATTAAAGTTGCAACTGAAGTAGCAAATATTTCCTAGTGAGCGGACAGAAAAGCGTAAATCTCCGTGTTGCTGAGGTTTCAACCAGGAACAGTGAAGTCGTTTTGAATCCTGGTCTCTCCTGCTGCTTCGTGTCACTGTCTGTTTGTGACGGTCATCACACCGCAGAGCAGCATCTGTTCTCAAACAGCTGCTCCACCACGGTGGAGTCCGCCAGGGTGGAGATGTCCCCCAGGTCCTTCTCATTGCAGGCGATCTTACGAAGAACTCGTCTCATTATTTTCCCTGCAGAAACAGCAGAGAGCAGAGTTAATGATGGACTAACATACCGCTTTCTTTKCAGCCTCATTTTACACCGTCAGGTTGCTTAATGCAAACATTACTGGGAACATTTGTAATAATGT